ATCTATCTAATTATTTGTTTCTTTCTCTATATTTCCTTGAATTTTCTTCTTTACTCTTAATTGTAGAGGATTGTATATAAACAAACATTAACGTTGCAGTCAAATTCATTGTCGTCAACAGTTTTATCAACAGGTGCAGTCACCTACCACCGAGTTTGCTGAATCAACATTTGCACGAACAACGAGTGTACCAGTTTAGGTACGAGATATGAAAGAGACTTGCTTTTAAAACGATCTCTTTCTCTCTTTCTCTCTCTCTCACTGTCTCGTTCTCTCTTTTCAATTTTTTTCCTCGTGTGTGTATATTGTATATGTGAATTATATCCTCGAACGTAGTCAAAATGTCTCTCTAGATTCTATTACGATGAAATGAATAGATAGAAAAAGTAGAATAAATTTAATCGTATGCATTTCAAAATGCATTCGAGAGATGCGAAAAAAAGAAAATATAAATAATGATATTAATTTAAATACAAAAAATTATATAACATATCAATAATTAATAAATCGTTTCGAAATATTTGTTAAAAATTCGTTCAAATTTTGTAAAGAATTATTTTAAATTATATCAATCGTTACTATATAAATCTTTTTGTTCTTTTTCTTTTTTTTTTTCGAATAATTATTTACAACGAAAATCATTGTATTATTTTAATTACTTTCGTTTTATTCTTTGATATGTGAAAAAGAAAAAAGCTCTCATAGGTTCTTAGATTGCATCTTGATTGCTTTGCTAAAACTCTCGTAAGAGCAACTCGCATTAACTCGAATTTGCAAAGACGAGTCTATGGTACGGAAAATGAGGTGTGGATAATGAGAAAGAAAAAAGGTAAAAACAAGAAGGAAAATTATAAAAAGAAGAAATATAGTCGAAAAAGAAAATGTGGGGGGGGGGATGGTTTAAACTCTGAACAAATGTATTTCTAACGTTGTACACATAGTAACGAAAAGACGTGAATGAATAAATGAATACTGATGTCCAAAGTGAAAAGATATCGAAACGAAATAAAAATAAAAGTATCTCTTTGAATGGCATTTAAAAAATATATTCTTTAAAAATCGAAATAAAAGATTTAATCGATAAATTAGAAATATATATATATAATAATATTTGCTCAAGTTTATATCGATTAAAAACATATAATTATTTTAGTATATAGATATTATTTATATTACGAATAAAATAACTAATCGATAATAAAAAAATAAAATTATTAAATAATTTGAATATAAATATATTTATATATAACATTTTCTCTCGAATATATTATATATATATCTATGAAGTAAAACACGTTTTATTCGCACGAAGGATATTGTATATTATATTATCTATACTTCAAAGGAATAACTAATCCTTAATAAATGAAATTAACATTATTGTATTTCCTTAATAAATTAGAAATATCCTACATAAAATACATTTGTTCGGAAGAGTTTCAACAAAGATAACAAATCTTACTTGCACAAAGGATTTCACTTAACTAACGATAAATGAAAAACTATGAATTCTAGTTTATGCATATTAATAATATTATCGATTCTCTTTGAAGGACTACAAACGATCGTGTACAAGGTTAACACGCAAACATAATACGTGTATTTAAAGAACGTCAATCCGAGTCAAAATACAAAAAAAAAAGTTTTCAATGTTTTACGAAACGAGAGAATCGATAAAAAGTACTTTGAGTTTACCATATTTGGATCTTTACAAAGGATTTTATGTTTAACTATGCGAGTATAAATTCGTACAAACTATAGCTGGCGAGTCTGATCTTTCTCCACTAAACTACTATATATATATATATATGGGATACTAAACATACAAAGCTAAATCGTATTTCGTAGAGGTAGGTTCTCTTTTGCTCTGACGATTAAACGTATTTTCTCTGGCTAGTAGGTCACTGATATCAACCCTTTTTTCTACCTGACCAAACCATAACTTTCTTCCCTATCTACTTGTTAACTTATATATTTTTTTTTCATTATTTTCTTTAATATATATACACGCGTAATCATTTTTCCGTTAGTTTCATAAAAATGTATAATTGTATGTTATTTGTATTATTTGATATTTATTTATGCATTGAATACATACACTATGTCAATGGGGGTTGATTCTTGTGTAAATGTGTTGTTATTAATATTTATTTATTATTAATATTTAATATTTGTAGATGTATATACGCGTTTAGAAATTTGATTTATATGTAAGCACAATGTACACACATACGATTTATCAAAGATTATTTGACTTTACTTAATAACGTACTCAGCAACTTTGTTTCATCGAGATATCCTCCAACTCGAAATGAGAAAATTTATTGGATATATATCACAAGATATTCTTATCCCACTTCTTTCCTCTAGTTTCGTAAAAATCGTAAGATAAATAACGTAAGATAAAACTAATAAACAAACAAAAAAGAAAAGCACAAAAGATGATTTATAATACAATCATTATTTACGAAGAAAAAAAAGGAACTTTCTTTCGAAATTACGGTTTATGTCCAATCCTGGGGCATATATATTTATTTTTCTTTTATTTCTTCTTATTATTAATTTATTTTTAATTAATTTTAAATTATTTTTTTCTTTTTCTTTATAAAAATTAATATATTTAAATTAACGTTGAACGCGATTTCCTCGATGTCCTTTTTTTTTTTTTTTTTTTTTTTTTTGGTTTAAAATATAGAAAAACAAATTCCCAAAGGAGATAGGAATTTTGTTGAAAAGAATCTCTCTCTCTCTCTCTCTCTCTCAAGTACTTTGAAATATTTTCCAAAAGTTCGTCATTAAAACGATAGCAACAAAATTCGATACACTTTTTAACACATCCGTATAAATTTTTGCTTAAAGGAAAATAAAATAACGAAAGTTATCTTCATCGACTTTTATCAAAAAACCCAACTTATACTTTATACAAAACTTTTACAGTTTTCTTCTTCTTCTTTTTTTTTTTGTTCTACGAACATCGTTTTCATATTTCTTTGTCATTAGAGCTATTAAATATAAATCACGCGATATTTCTTGAGATGCAACTATATAATAGTAATACAAATTTGTATATACGTGTATATTAAAAAAATGTGTCGGCAGTATAAAAAAATGTTAACTCGGGAGAATGTTCGAACGATCGAAATATCGAGAATATAATAAAGTAAAAATAAACTATTAATATTATTTTTCCAAATTTCGTCTGGGTTTCCTGTTGCATCGATGCGATCAAAACGATTCGCGTAAAAATTCTAGTTCGAATAAAAAAGAAGAAAAAAAATAGAGAGATGAATCAACTCAACGAATCAGAGACAAGACCGGATTGAGGGGATTTATTGAATAAATATTTTCGATGAATTTTATGTCAATAAACGGTCACCAATGGTTTTCGTAAAGCGAAGAAGTTGGGTGTAAAAAAAACGACAGAGAGTGAGAGAAAGAGAGAGAGAGAGAGAGAGAGATCGCATAAATCGTTTTAAAAAGCGAGTAACTCTTTAATCATCGTTTTGAAAATCCCATAAAGTATTAAAACACTATCTCCGTCGTTTTTTATCAATTTAAATATCGTACTAAGGCTAGGATCAGGATAGGAAAAAATATTCATGATATAAAAACTAAATTAAATTACAATTATCTTTAATTAATATAATATAATTAGAGTATTAATATATTGAGAAAATAGAAAAATCAAAATGAATATTAAAATTATTAATAAACATAATACGCGTGAGAGATTTTTCTTATTGTATGTTATTTAATAGAACAACAACAACAACAACTGTATACAATCTTATCTGTATACGAAGAAGAATTAAACGATCCAACGACAAGAGAAGACCATCACGTATGCATATGCATGAACCAATTAACGACTAAACGAGCAATAAACTACTTCCCGATCACGATAATTGTTTCGCCTTCCGGCACGAGTCCATGATCGGCACGTTAAGAATAGCGTTGATTAATAGTCAAGGTGAAGATGAGAAATACACAAGCTATTTCCGTATTAATCTTTAATTAAAAGACAAGCTATCGAAGCATAAGCTTAATGTTTTAATTTGATTCTACCGCGTGATATTTTGATCTAATTCATTTAGTAATAATTAGTTCTATCATATAAACGATGATTAATAATGCTTAATAAAATGTTTAAAATAATATTTTTGTGTAGAAACATATTGAAAATTAATATTTATTATCGGTATCACATCTATATCGTTTAGATTACAAATATTAATTTTTCATTGTTTTATATTTTTTAGTGTACTCTTACGACAAACGTTTATTTTCGAATGATATTTTTTCTTTTTTCTTTTTTTTTTTTTTAAATATTTTGGTTTCGTTGTTGATAATATTTTCGTTTCGTTGGAGAAAAATTGTGGTATCAAATTACTACTCATGGTTTTGTGTTTCGTATTCTCTCGATGTATTTCGGTTGTGTATCAAAGCCACGAACAGGAGAAACCGTTTTCCGCATCAGGGAATTACCGTCGGTATTAATCTTCCTGTACTTGGCTTCTTCTCTTTCTCTTTCTCTCTGTTGCTTTTAGACTACACGTATTAGAACCGTCGATCTCGATAATTCATGAGCATACGCATCAACGGAAGCTTTTGTCTTTAGTTTAAAGGAGAATTCACTAATCTTCAGTTTCCTATATAATTTCTAATATATATATATATAATAATAATAATATATAATTAATAAAGTTAAAAGTATATATATATATATATATTTTAACAAAGCTTAGAAAATATATAGAATCAGCTGATTTCTCTTGTTATATTTAATAAAAAATTCAACTATCTTATATTAAGAAGAAAATCTATAAGAACGTACATTTTCTTAGTTTAGAAAAAGTTTATACCTTTATAAAGATGGCATCAGTAATCGAGAAAAAATAATAATAAAAAATTCGGAGTACGGTGTATCTTGAATAAAAATATAATAAGGGATATTAATAAATTATTAATAATACAATACGTAAACTTTACAAATTATTTTTCTATGCAGAATCCAAGATAAAAGACGTTCTTGGCGTAGGAGTTGTCATATTGAAACCACCCCCAAAGAATTTCTTTTGTTTTATCGGTAAAGCTGGTAGTATTGATTCTGTCAAGGACTTCGATCTCGTTTCCTTCTCCTTTTGTAATTTCCTTTTCTGTGCGTAATATTTCATCTTCAACTCGCACATCTCTTTACTCATCCGTTCGACATCGAATTTGTATTCGTTTATTTCAACTTGATACATGTTCAATTCCGATACGAGGCACTGGATTAAATAAAAATAATAAATATATAAATAAATACAAAATAAAAAACAAATTTGACGAATAGAGATCCGAAATATTTGTATTTATTTGAGATGATTGGTATTTTTAAATATTTTTACTCTCGATGTTTGTGATCGTAAAATAAAATAATATAATTCGTCAGTACTTTAAATAAAAAACAAAAATGATCCAATAAGTAATGGCATTCGAACGAAATATTTTACAAAAACGATTTCAATATCGTATACATACCTTCATTTTATTTCCTCTTTTTCTCAATGCTTTTTGAGTTTTATTCAAGGCCATAGTTATCCGTGGTCCTGGTTGTTTAACCAAAATCTCACGAAGATTCATGTATAATTTTTCGGTGTCTTGTACTCTTTTTTCCTTATCAATTATCAAGGCCGACATCTTGATAACTCTCTTTTGAAGAATCTGAATTTTGTTCAACATTTCATAAGCCGATGGATCGGAGAACTAGAAAATATATTTATGGAATTAATGAAATTTAAGTAATGAATATCGTAATTCTTTTATTTATTTTTTTTTTTTTATATTCGTTTGCTGGAAAGTTCAAACATAGTAGATGCATGTATAACTATACCAACAACGTTTAGTTTTATTCATATATGCATTGGAACAACAAAATTTAACCCAAGTTTTCATGTGAAGGTTACAAAAAAAAATAGAGCAGAGAAAAAGAAATGTCAAAAAATTGCATATTTGATAAGTGAATTTAAAAAAAAATCTTCGTTATTCATTTATGGCATCAACCAACATTGGACAATTTTGTTTCCATTTTTGAACATGCACGCAATATCAAATTTATTAATTTAATTTACGAATGATTGTGCACTTTTTAGTATCTACGTATAAAAATACATAAACGAATATCCAAAACGTTGCCATAATCAAATTAATTATGTTTAATTTCAAGTAATATACTGCTTGTTCTACAACTAATACCATTCACATAGGTAGATATAATTTGAATCATTGTTTTACGGTCAATTTCATATTTTAACGATTGATACATAATCAACTAACGAACTATTCAAATAAAAATAAAAATGATCACTTGGAGTTTTCGCCAACGATGAATATTCAACGGTGTTTGAACTTCTTCTTCCAAAGCCATGACCTTTAATCTTTCTTTGGTAAGATCTCTGTTCAAGTGAAAAATCTCATGACGCATATCCGAAGTATTATCTATACTTTTGGTCAGTAAAACTTTCTCGGTTCTGAGCTTGTTAACTTCTAGTTTGAGCAATCTGATATCTTCAAGACGTTCGTTATATTGTTGCTTGCCACGTTGCAGTGTACCGTTCAATATCTTGATCCTGTTATATTGCAAACAGAGCTCGTCATTTCGCCTAACCAATTGCGTACCAAGAATATCGCGTTCGTTCATGACATTGTCGATATCTTTCTTATGACGAGCTATGTCTCTGTCTGCTTTTAAAATCGTCTGTCGTAGACGCTTTTCCTCTTGCTTCATTTCTTCGATTTCACGTCTCAAATCTGAGATATCTTTACGAGCAGATTGAAGATCTACCTTTAAGGTTTCCTTTTCTCTTTCGGTTCTCCCAAGTACTAAAACATTATAATAAATTGAATTTTGATAAATTTCAAATATTTCTTTTTTTTATTATAAATATTAAATATAATATATATAATAATATTATAATAAATAAATAATATATATAATAATAAATAATATTA